TTACTTGTTGTGTCGTTCCGCTGGTTTTGGCCCACCACGCCTCGGCGCGACACGTTATCCGCCTCGCAATCCCCAGGCTTCCACGTGCCGAGCTTTCCCGAGCGTCCCACCCTGCGAAGCGGAGCTCTCCCCCCCCCTTCTCCACACTTGCTCAATATGAATGCTCCTCCCCTCTCTCACCAGATTTCTGTTCAAGCGGGGCCCTTTTTCCTCCCTTGCGTACAAACACCGGATTTCAGAACACATTCCCTAAACAGTGCTGGCACTTAGGGGTCTGCTTTCTTTTCTTAAGAAGTGAGTTCCATTGCCTGGTCCGCCGCCTTGTTGTTGCCATCGACGCCCTGTCGCCGCCTCGTCGCCGCCCGTCGTATGGGTTCCATTGCCGGGTCCGCCGCCTCGTTGTCGCAGTCGCCGCCTCGTCGCGGCCCGTCGTCGGGGCTCCATTGTCGGGTCCGCCGCCATGTTGTCCCCGACGCCGCCTCGTCGCAGCCCGATCTAGATGGCATCACATAGCACCATATATATATATATATAGACATAGACATATACATATACATATACATATATAGAGAGAGACATCTATGAATATAGGATCTACCACCACCGCCTCCACCCGGAATTATCGTTTCCTCCTGGGATAGTTCAACTCACATATGGTGATGTTCCACCTGTCGTTTCAATGTAGACTCATGCCATCCCAGGGGGGGCCGGTATCGACCCCCCCACACCCCCTCATCCCGTCAAATGGTAGTATTCGCGTACGTTCGTTTACCGAACATCATCAGCTGTCCAAAAGAAAAAATGACAAATTCGACACGAGCGCGTCGTCGCACGCGCATGCCGAAGTCGTTCAAAACTTGAAAGCCTGTAAGGAATTCAAGATCGAGTTTCCTGGCAACGTATGAAACAACAACATTGGTTTTACAACACGATGTTTTAGAAAAATGCGCGCGCGACTGCGAAGTCTTATGGAGTCCAGATGTTGTTCTTGAGTTTCGTAAAATGCGACCAAGTGGGCCCCTCGCGCGCGAGCATGTTGAAGTCATTCGCCTGCCCTTGCGCGCTTGCTGGGTGGGCACGGTCCTTGTCAAATACTTCCATGTGGGTCACTCGCGCCCGTCGGCCGCGCGCGCATGCTTGAATCCTCCCAAAACCTTCATCACCGACACGACGACACCATCATCGTCATCGGCATGGTCAACATCGGCGCCGTCATCT